CCGCCTCCCGGCCGTGGCCCCGCCCCCTGGACGCCTGGGTCCCTCCCGGAGCCGGGGGCCCCCCGGGGTGGGTCCCGGACGCCTGGGTCCTTTGGCGCTGGGAAGCCGCAGGACACCTGCCCGGACGCCTGGGTCCCTCTCTGCATCTCGAGGGGCTTCGGGCGCCTGGGTCCCCCCCATCGCCCCCAGAGCTGTGGGGTCTCCCGAGGGGTGGGTCCCGGACGCCAGGGTCCCTGCCTGCCTTTTGGAGCTGCGGGGTCCCCTGGGGGCGTCGTCCCGGACGCCTGGGTCCCTCCTCCCCGCGCCCTGCACCTGGGGGGACCCCTGGGGGCGTGGCCTCGGAGGCCTGGGTCCCTCCCTGCATCCCGGAGCCGTGCCCCCCACCCCCCAGTTAAACCCAGCTGAAGGAACAGGCGTTAATTACAGCGGCTCAGGAGCCAGTTGGCTCGTTAATCCCCTGACTGGGAGGGAGGGAGGGAGGGAGGGGGGGGGGGGGGGGGAGGGGTGCCCCCCCCCGATCCGCAGCCCCCGCCCGGCCCCATTAGGATGGATGGATGGGGGCTATGGGGATGGATGGATGGATGGATGGAGAGCGTGTATGGGAACAGACGTATGGACGGAGGGGTATGGGGAGGGTGGGAGGCAGGGACAGGTAGAGTAGAGAAACAGGCTAGGGCAAACACAGCTGGACAGACAGATCGACATGGCGTGGGAATGGGTGGACAAAGGACGCTTAGATGGAGCAGGGGTGTAGGGAGAGGGGGGAAATGGGGCGGGGGGCCGGGACACGGTGCATGGCGGGAGGGCGGGATAGACGGACACGGCCGGGCGGTGGGGTGTGGAGCGGACAGACAAGCAGGCACATAGAGGAGTGTTAGGGGAGGCCAGGCGGGCAAACGGACAGACAGGCCGACACAGGGGAGCAGATGGCTGGATGGCGGGTGCGGGCCGAGTGCTGCGGGGGGGAGCGGGGTGGACAGGCGGACAGACGCGGGCTGTGGGGGTGGATGGAGATGGGATGTGCGGGGACAGGGGGAGGGAGAGAGCAATGGGCACGAACAGACAAATGGGTCTGGGGATGGACGGACAGACAGGGGCAGAGAAGAGGCTGGAGGGAGGGCGAAGGAGACAGAGTACATGGGATAGATGCCTATATAGACAGAGACAGCCTGGCTATGGGGAAGGAGAGCCGAGGAGGCACAGACAGAGGGTGCGGGGAGAGGGAGGCATGGACAGACAGACGCACAGGGGCAGATGGACAGACAGAGGTGTGAAGCCGGCTGCAGGGCCGGGTGCTGGGGGGACAGGTGGGTGCACAGGGCTGCAACGAGGGAAGGATGGAGGGAGGGAGAGACGGGACGGGACGTACAGGGAGGGATGAATGGCTGGATGGGAGATGCAAGGGTGGATGGATGGAGAGACAAGTTGGTAGGAACTGTCCCATCGGCAGACAGAAAGACAGACAGGCAGAGAGGTGGGGGGTTGGATGGGTGGGCGAGGGCTTTCGGGAGGGAGGCAGGGAGAGATGAGGTGTATGGGATGGATGGACGGAGCTATGGGGACAGACGGATGGGTGGGTGGGCAGAGAAATAGGCAGACCCATAAGTAGAGAGGCAGAGGGGTGCAGGAGAAAGATGGGGGGCC